CGCGCAGCCGGGAGTCGGTGCGCAGTCGTGCCGTTACATCGGCGCTCTCACTAAGCTATCCGATCCGGTCCAATCTATCCAATTAACATGCCTGCTGTCTCCACAAGCAAGAAGAAGAAGAAGAAGGTTCGAGGACAGCCCGAAAGCGTGAACCAACCTGACATTGGGTTGCTATGAGATTCAAGTAGAACTTCGCAAGTGCTTCCATAAACTCGTTGCTTGAAAGGTGTTCTCTTTCGAAGAACGCCCCCACCAAAACAGATCTACAACTTGTAGTCTGGTGCATTGCATCATCGACAGAAAGAACGAGGTTAATCAATGCTACAATGCTTGCTAGTCAAAAACCAAATTGAAGTCCGATCGTTTGCGGTACAAGGCTACGTATAATGATGTGGCATGAAAAGTGCACAAAGACACGCTACAACTGTGCGCCTTTGAAAAGGGGCCCCGAGCCTGCCAAAGGTCTATGCAAACGCGATATAGTCATATTTATGTGCTCTTGCAGAAATGAGGGAACTGCACAAATGTGGCAGCATGCTATCAAACCCCTATCAAACAGCTAGGTACGTCAAAGTGGAGCTTGACGCAGCATATTTGCTTGTATGGAGGAGCCCTCTTGACCCTCTTACTCAGACCGAGCTCAGACCTTAATGGACTTCACGTTCTCTTTTTCTTTGTGGTAGACACATGGCCCATAGGCTTCATATGACATGATACATGAATCATGTTTATGATGTTGTTCTTAACCCTTTAACAGCGGGTGTTGCCTTTTGTTGCCTTTTGCAACCCCATGGTTATATTCGCGCGCTACGGCCTCCAAATTACCACAAATGGCCCCAGCTGTTCACATAATGTTTCAACGACTCAATATTAAAATTTAAAAAATGCAACTAGAATTTTCCGGGTGGTCCGGGCCCATATATGAAGCTGACCCCCCAGTATACTGTTGCCTGTGTTGTTGCCCAAGGCAACAGGTCTGCAGGGGCCAACCGGGCAACATCCGGGTGTTGTTGCCGCCAGGTCCAGGGCTATGTCTCTGCCCGGGTCCTCTGGCCGACCGTCCATGATGGTTTAGTGGGGGGGAGCTGTGCTAGAGCTTGTTGCCATGTGTCAATCATCCGCACAGCAGGGCAACACCAGTCATTCAATCTTGACCGTCCAGGTAGGCTTGTGACTGGGAGGTAACATTCCAACAACGGGGCCCTCTGTTTCGACTCTACGAGCAGTCGAGAACGAGTCTACGGGTGCAGGCTTCCGTTATCTTGTTGCCCTTTTCCCTGGCAAAATGGTAAAAAGGGCAACAATAGAAATGGGGCCTAAAACGTAACAGACTGGCGCAGACTGCAACTACATAAGCAACTTTGCAAACCCTTGGAAGCAGCGGAGAGGCCCCGTTTTCAGCAAAGGCAACACGGCGAACGCGGCGCGCGGGCGCGCTGCAGCAGAAGCTATGAGCAACAAACAATAGCAGATCGTAACAAGCTTATACCTATGTTCGTGTGTTGCTCTTATAACTGTTGCTTATGGTTGCCCCAGTATTCACCGGTCACGGTGTCCGAGGCAACAGTAGCAACAAGGCCTCCGGAGCCTGGGCCCAAGGTGACTTGCAGAGAATCTTCGTTGGCCTGGTCGGAAAGGCCTTGGAACAGCAGAGGGTAGGCTGCTCGTTGGCCGGAAGCTCGCAGCCTCGATATCGCTCGATTCCGAACCGTCACCGGCCGGCGCGCCGGTCCGTCAAATTTTCCGATCGGCGCCGTCCGATCGCGCAAGGCTCGTCGATCGAACGGTCAAATCGATTTTTGCGATTATCGCTAAAAATCAAGTACGGCGAGTCTGACGGGTTTTACCCCGCTGTTAAAGGGTTAAAGCTGCAGGGGCACATACCGTCGCGCTCTTGACGCTTTAGCAATATTGCTGGCGACTTGAAGGATTCAGTGAAGGTATTGACTCTAACTCCTCTCTAACTTAGGCGCTTTGACCATTGACCAAGTTAAGTAGTAAGTACAGAGGAAGCTGTACGGCAGACTGAGTCGAACCCGGGTCAACAATCCGTAGAGTCCGTCGTCTTTCCACTCTCCTCATTGGTCGGCTGATATACCAGTGACACATGGCAGCTTCCGAACGCATTGAAATTGTAACGCCCGGAAAACTCGACTGTCGACATACGGCCGTGACCCGTCACGGCGGATCAAGTTTGTTTTCGCAGCTATGTTGTCATTGGAGGGGGGCTTTTCGCAGCCCAGAGGGCCCTAGCTGAGGCTGGGGCTGGACTCTTGACTCTTGAGTCCGACTCCGACGAGTCTTGACTGAATGCAGAAGAGAAGCTCTGAGTCTTGCCGCATCAGGAGGTGCACAAGTGATTGCCTTGCTACTGCAGATATTGCTAACAGAGAGGTTCTGCAACGGAGAAAAAGCGGGGAAAAAGCACCCGAGGTGACCTGCGGTAGAAAGGTGAGTCTCTGATGACGAACACTCTTTGTGTGGGCCGCGCTCTTTCAAGCCCTCGGTGCATGAGCCTGTCGGACCCGGGTCGGACCCCAGGAGGACCCCTGAGCTCTGCAATCAAGGGCAGTAAACAGCTTGTCCAGGACTCCTTCGGTCGCTTGGAATTGCGCTGGCCCTATGTCAAGTATCGTTTCTCCCCAAGTGACATTCGGGGTGACATTATACGTGCTGTTTGCACCTGCCACTTGAATAGTCCTTAAAATCTGTCACATTGGTTGATGTTGTGGTGCTTTCGAGGGCAATCGCACGTTTACAAGAGGTGTGATGAGCCTGGACGTGTATTGGTGACCAGAAGTAGGAATCAGGAGATTGGGCCGGAGGGAAGAAGGTCTTCTGTGGGAGCCATTCTGTGCGCAGGAAGCTGCATGGTGTCAGAGCGTTGGGTAATGATTACATGATGTGCAGTCTATCCGATCTGGCAGGAACATTCAGATGATATAATCACATTAGCAGCAGCCATGTGGCTCATGTGGGAACCTCACAAAACTGCTTCTATTCGGAGAAAGAGCTTCTATGCAATTCTGGTCTGAATTTTGGAAGCTTGTTAGCCCCACTTTAACTGGCACTAGGGTTTCGTTTTGCAGGTTTACCCCTTGATTCGGAGCCACTTAAGGACCATGGCACCAACCCTATTTGTGAGGATGCTAATCCTGGTGACCCTGTACGGGTGCGGGCCAATAAGTGGTGTCCACCCGTTTACTATTGAGGAGATGGGCAATCTGACGAACGAGAATGCCAATGTTCTCGCCAGCGTCGGGGCCCCCTCTAGTGGAGGGCAGGGCCCCGTCTGGAATCTGAGTAAGATCGATCTCGCCTACACTAGGAAGCTGTCAGGTCCCATTCCCCCTGAGCTCGGCAGCCTGACCAACCTCACCTGGCTCAGTCTCGTCAACCACGCATTGTCAGGTCCCATCCCCCCTGAACTCGCCAAGCTCACCAAGCTTACCTTCCTCGATCTTTCTGCAAACAACCTCTCCGGCCCCATCCCCCCTGAACTTTCCAGCCTGACCAACCTCACCGTACTTGAACTCTCTGGCAACAGACTCTCTGGTTCCATTCCCCCGCAGCTCGGCAGCCTGACCAAACTTACTTGGCTCAGCCTCCACTCCAACAACCTCTCCGGCCCCATTCCTCGTGAGCTCGGCAACTTGACCAAGGTAGATGTGGTATATCTCAACAACAACACCCTCTCCGGCCCAATTCCACCTGAGCTCGGCAGACTGACCAACGTGACTTACTTATCCCTCAACAACAACACACTCTCCGGCCCGATCCCTCCTGAGCTTGGCAAACTAACCGACCTCTACGCCTTGAAACTCTCCGAGAACAACCTCTCGGGTCCGATCCCTCGTGAGCTCGGCAAAGCGATCATGACCCGCCTCTACGTCTTGGAACTCTCCAACAACAGCCTCTCTGGTCCGATCCCCCTAAGTCTCTCCCGATTTCGCAACACAACTTTTTATCCGGGAAACTCTGGGCTGTGCTGCACCGACTGCAGCGCCAACTTCAGCTCACCGTGTCCTCCAGGAACATCATCATCATGTCCTTCAGTCGGACCCAATGTTGTCGGCGGAGTCGTTGCGGGAGCTGCTCTTTGCCTGGCGGTCCTGTTGACATAGAACACAATCACAGGTGCTGGAAACGACCCGACCAGAGAACTCTCAGGTCATAGCTTACCTTGCAACAAGCAACAAGACAAGAACCTAGTGGGAGACAACCATCCACCGGGGTTGGATAGGAAGCTAGTTCGTCTTGTGGCTTGGGCTTTATATCCATGCTTCTATAGCTTTGTTCGAGGGGGTTTCGGTTGGTTTTTGATTTGGCGGCATGCATTAGGCATCCTGTTTCGGCAATAGTCTGTTCGCTCCCAACACTTGGAGGTACTCTGTGCCAACCGGACAGCAGACCAGATACGACAAATGCTGCTCCTTGTTTGCTTAATCTGGTTCACGTTTGAAAACTTAGTGTAGCCAATTGTATGATGTAACTCTGCAGGCCTAAGTTGTGGGTGTGCTTGCGAAGTTGCACCTGCATGCTGGGCAATGTTTCTTTAGGATGAACACCCAAGACATTTGTCTGGCCCCGTCCGGTAATGTCCATGTCCGGACCCTACGCTCAGGCCAGATCGAGATTTATACGTCAAGCGCGTCATGATGCTGTCTTTGTTGGCAGCCACGGCCTCCACTTCTACATGCACTGGCACAGTCGATGATTCATTCAATGCAAGTTCGTTTTTCAGACGACCTTGCTAGTGAACCTATAGCTGGCTGGAGATTTTTCGGAGGACATGCGCATGCCCCCTAATTAAGGTCGAGGACCCTTCGGACGGGCCCAGAATTGTCTTTTATGCGTCATTTGTTACAGACCCTGCAAGGGGGCGGAGGCCCCCAGGGGGCACATCCTGCCAGCGGACGCGTTTTCGCCAAATGGATTATGCCGAATCAGTATCGCATATATGATATAACACCATACTGTATATCATGGTCGCTCGGCGACCATGATATGAGATGATCGTACATGATTCTCAATACACACAGTAATTATGATATATCATATGTATGATCGATGGTATTGGGTCGTCCCGTATGTTACATCGTATGATCGCCCAGCGGCTTGATAGTAGGGCTGGCCGGTCCGAAAAGGGCCGCTCGGGAACCACCTCATGTCCTTCCCGTCTACCGAGATCCCAACATTTCGACCAGACGGTTTTCGACCATACCCCCCGGGATCCACCTTTCAAATGCACGATTACCACCACCCCCAAAAAACACGACCTTTCAGTATAATAATTTCGAATGCACGAAAGCGCGCTGTGCATTTACATCTAGTTCCTCATTCCGGAAAGGATGGAGCCTTGTATCTGGGGGGGTGGACAAGTCTTCGCCATTTGCTCGATTACAAGAGACAGCGTCGGTCTGAAAAAATTAGCAAGTGGAGGTCTCATTGAGTTTATTCAGCACTTCGCAACTAATTCTCGAGTCCGGTTGCCGCCGACATACAGCCTACACAGGTAACTAGGACACCTGGAGGTTACTAACATTTGCAGATTTCGAGCTCCGGGCCGTCTAATTAAATTTGACGCTTGGTACCTAGTACATCGCACGCCCATGTGTTTGTTCGATATTCTATTCCGATCGTAATTTGCCACTGTGGCCAAAAACATGCTGCGACCCGGTTGGTCCAAGTCGGATGCGTTCAATTCTTACAAACGTCAATATGCAGAATAGCTAGGTAGCTACGAACTCAAGCATCATCCAGGGGGATCGGCTGTATGCCGCACTGTATGCAATAAATGAATGCGTGGTGGTGACTCGCGTCGAACGGATTCGCTTATACCTTTTTAGTGTAGATGCATGGAAACCGTGCGGACAGAAGCATATGGACCTTGAACATACCGTCCGCATGCGCGATGTACTTAGAATTTCAAGATCTTCTAGCTATTTTACCGTACGTGTGGTTAGTCGTGTACACATTTAGTGCTCAAGCTCTGCATGTATGTATGATTCGATGCATGCACGACGGTATACGTACAGTATCCTTAGTAGTACCCTTGGCACCACTGGCAGAGATCTTAGGATGATACAGCATGGGACAAGGACTTCAATTTGTAAGTTCGGATGCACACTTTACCATATGGCCAACTTAGCCTAGTAGCCTAGTGATACGAATGCAATTCAATCAATTCTGTACTATATATTGCTGATATCGATTGAATGTACTATGATACGTCTTTATAGTATCATTTTCTAGTATCATATGTGACGCACGCGGTGCACTATGCACGCACAACCACGGATGGATGGATCGGGATCGAGCTCATCGTACGGCCATACTATAATCGAGTCCAGGTCACCGGTTCCTAGGAAACTTAGTAAAAACATTTAGTCAAAACATATAGTGCAACACACGTGAATGCGTGGACCAGGCTTGATCTTGAAACGTGACGTACATGCTGTGGAACGGAGCCAGACACCCCGCGGTCAGGCGCCCTGCGAGCTTACGATCACGATTTCTCAAATAGCATTTGCACGGAACACGCAATGCAATCATCACGGGCCTGTTTGAGCGCACAATTGCCTTTTTCAAACGCTTGTAATGCCAGCGATTGACTCCTTGCATTTTTTGGGTGCGTTCTGGTTGGTTAATGAATCAATTAGGACCTGGTTCGCAGCATTCGACGCCTAGGGCCGCCTTCTTCGAATTGGACCTTGCAAGCCTCCGCAAAAACTGTGCCGCTCCTTCGATTGATACCTGCACAAAGGCAGACTCGTCAGTATTCTGAAACGCAACACGGCTTGACCCATCGGTGAGAGACCGTGTGCACATAATCCTGCTTGGAATCTCTCTTGCTGTGATGCTTTGGTGTGCGACGGCCGATTATATGGTAGACCTATCTTCAAAACTGAATGGTCAAGGTCAATGCTCGCTCAAGCAGCCACATTCGATCGCGATCGCCCTTCATCAGACTTGCGGGGTTGGTCTTCTTCACCAAATTTTGCCCGCTAGTCTATCAGCTGCGGCTCACATTCGCTCAGGGACGAAGGCGAGTGCAAATGGAGGTGACGCCCTCTTTCTACGAAAGCCTGACGAGGCATTGTGATACATACAGCTCCGACGGTCCTGCAGGAGACAACGGAGACGAACAGGTTGCTGGATCTTAGATGCAGAGCTCAAAATGGTTTCACAGAGGGGGACTTTGCCTGCTTTATCACCCCTTTTGCTAACTCGCATGCGCTTATTCCGTGAATGGCCGTTTCCCGGGATCCTCTTGGTCCCTTCAAAGTTGTACAAGGGGAGGAGTCTCTTCTTGGGACTTCAGATCTGTAAAACGGGGACAGTGGCTTCGTCAAACCTGTGAAAATATGACAGTGGCTTCATCAGGCAAATGCATATGAAGCGACGTGCTCACGGCCGAGAGGCGTTCGATCCGAAGTGATACGAAGTGCATCTGCACCAACTGCGAGGTTAGCAGTCAGTGTTTTGCCTACCATCATGAACCACCACTTGCAAAAAGCAATCGATTCGAACGGCCAATCACAAAGGCTCCTTGACAGAGCGGAATAGGTTTGGGATGACAAAATATACGCGAAATTTCGTTGGCGCGGCAGCAAGTCAAGCTTTCTCAATATCTCAGATTTGGAAACAAGCGTTTTGCTTGCTTTTTTTAGTTCTCTGAAGTAGTTATTGACACCAGTTAGCCTTCGTCAGTCTTACAACACGCCTCAAACGTGACGTTTGGGTCAAGGAAATCTTCAACATAAAGACCTCCTTGGCACCGCAAAGAACTCGTTTCCTGAAACGGTTTCGACGAGGAGAGTCGTGCTTACCAGCTCCACAACTCTGATCAGGCGGTCTCGAACACTCGGCGATTCAGCTTCCACTTGAAGTCAGTGCAAAGCATGCTTGATTCTTTCACATAAGACTATTCACTACGATGTTTCGTCCTAGTCCCGACGTATTTAACGCCGAGAGAAGAGGGCCACGCCCATTGTGGTACAAGCAGCCATCATTCTTTTTTAGTCGACGGCCCCAGAACCGCCGAAAGCTGTAATCACGAGGTCCGAATTTTCGCTCACCAATGTAGCGGCCGTTGTGTTTCGACCCTAAGGGGAACGGCGTCAGAACGCGGCGTCTGAATGGTACTCCAAACGCTCAATGGCTTCGCACGCGCGCTCCATTTTGAGGCCCCGGCTGCCTTTCACCAGAACCAGGTCCCCAATCCCTAGAGTCAACGAGCCGCCAGCGCCCTCCATAGAGATCGCTTTCGCTAAGGTCGCAGAGTCCGGAAAGACTGCAGGGGGACGTGCGCAATTTCAGAACGAGACTTGTTTCTAAAAGGTGACAGCTTGAACCTGGCATGTCGAAGTGGGGACAATCGGGTTGTGACTAAGAGCACAAAGAGTTGAGACCATGTGAGACCTGACGAACGAACGGCGAGCATCACCAGAGTCGCAAGTATTCAGAGCCTTTCAACAAGTCTGCTTTTCGTCTGATGTCTGAATATGGCAAAATGACCGTTGTCTCGATTATCAGATTCCGGATCAAGCATTTCGGACCCAGATGTTGCAGCTCGCTTGAGCCTTCCGTGAGATTCTTCCAGGCGGTTTTACCATGTTGCGTCAGCATCTACTGCGAAAGGCTGTCGCTTATTTCCTTCCAAGACGTGAATGATCAGATGCAGCGGCTCTCCGGCTATCATAGAAGCTGCAAATATGGTAAACAGTAGAACAGATTCAAGTCACCGATCATTGCCAGCAAACGAATAAGTACGAGAGTCTGGAGAAAGGAGTTTGGTAGTAATCGGAACCTCCAGAACACAGGACTTGCGACGCTCTTGAAGAACCGAGCTTGTTAGCCAGGTGGTTGAGTCGGTAACGCAGTTAAGGAAGCCGAGCACCGAGCAACTTTGAGGGAACCCAAATCATTCGTGAAAGGCGCTTACCCCGGAGGTCCAGATCCGAGGGCGCCACGCTGGCCGCCGCTTCTCGAAACACCTCGCCGCAGACTGCCACTAAGTCTATTCTGGATTCGACGCACTGCTGTAGAACTTCGATGTGGGCTTGACGCGACGCCTGCCCCAGCTCTGAAAAAGGACGAGAGAGTACAACGTCAGCCTCCGTTTTAGACGGACTTGAGGAAACCGCTTCAAAAGGGCGCCTTCTCGAAACGCCTCGCCGCAGACTGCCACCAGGTCTACTCTGGACTCGACGCACTGCTGAAGAACTTCGATGTGAGCTTGACGCGACGCCTGTCCCAGCTCTGGAAAAAGGACGAGCGAGTATGACGTCAGCCTTCGTTTTAGACGGACCTGGAGGAAACCGCTTCGAAATGGCGCCTTCCCGAAAGGCATCGCCGCAGATTGCCACCAGATCTATCCTGGGTTCGACGCACTGCTGAAGTACGTGGATGTGGGCTTGACGGGACGCCTGAACCAACTCTGCCGAGGGCCAAAAATTTCTGACGTCAGCCCTCCTTAGGGGGCGGATCCCGAGGAAGCGCGTTCGAGTTCTAGGAGCGGCGGTTCAAAGTGCAAAACCGCAATGTCTTGGAGCTTGTCTTGCTACCTCAAGTGACGTCATGAAGCCAATCCTCTGGTCGCTTCTGCGGTAAAGCGTCGAACGAAGCGCTGTTCTCGTTACGGATTTCACCAACTTATGTCGTCCCTACCTGCCCAGATCCGCTGACAACAGGATCATCCCTCAAGTCCTTGCTGACCATAACAGAACCCCTAAACCTGCCGGCCGTCAGAACGTGTGGTCATCTCAAAGGTCCAGTAACATCCTTCCAACCACTGCTTGGGCTGCCTCTTTTAATATTGCCCGTGCATCTCCTCGATTGTCGGAAAAGCACAAACTGATAAAAGGTAGTTTGGTAACGTGAGCGTGCCTCACCTAGCATGTCTCCTAAAAGCGCCACTTTCTTGCCGCCGCACTCGACGCGCGCCAGCACCTCCAGTGCGCCCTTGACGCTCATTGGGTTTGCGTTGTAGGCGTCGTTCAGGAGCGTGAGGCCGCTTTTGTAGCACTTCTGCCAAAAAGCAGAGAAGGCAGGTCGGGCTACGTAAAGTTGGAAGTTGAGCCCAGGTGTGAATTGTCACCGCATCGAGGTCTTCAACGTCAACGTCTTGGAGACCGCGCTTGGAAACCAAGCAGATTCCAACGGACTCGTCGATGATTTTCAGATTTTCGTAATGTCGTTATGCTAGAGCTTTTGGTCTTGGTCGGCGGGCTGCTCGAAGCGCACCTTTCGAGAGGCGTCGCAGTGAAATGAATGAGAATAGGGCATCCGGAGGCAGGATACGATGACCCGAGGCTTGATTAGGCAGAATCTGAGATCTGGAATCATTAACAAATCCATTTAATTTCTTTGAAACTTCTCCGCAAACGCGAAAGACGCAAGCACGAGACGAAACGAAACGAAACGAAACGAAACGAAACGAGGAGGCGGATCTGCCAGGGCCAATCAAAAATCTCATCAGTTTGCTACATCACTCGTTTTCTAAAACCAACAGTTCCGTCAGTCGAGCTCCATAAAACCTGCAAGTACCTCTGACGTCGAGAAAGTTTCTGGTCGCGGACGTCGACTGCCAACGTGAAACGTATTCTTACCTGGACTCGCATCCGCATCCCCACAGGCTCGTACTCCTGAATGCCCCGGACGGCAGTTTTCAAAGGGACTCCCAGCGCTACTGCCACCGCAGCTGCAGCGGCAGCGTTCTTCAAAAGGTGCACACCTGGATGCTCAATCTGCACCACAAGCGAGGGTCTAAGCGAGGGTCTAGTGAGAACAGCTGAGGAGCGCAACGAATCGGTGTGTCATCAGCAGAAAGACGTGATTTATGAAAGAAAGCGAAATGTCCTGTGATTGAGCTTTCGAGGAGACTCTCAGCGCAACTGCCACAGTGGCCGCAGCAACAGCGTTCTTCAACAATTGCACCCCAGGGTGATCAGTCTGCACCGCAAGCGAGGGTCTAATGAGAACCTCTTGAGAGCGCGTCGACAAGTTTATCTAGGAAGGGAACTATCAGCAGAAGATGGGTGGTTTTGTGAAAGAAGGTTTGTTCTTCAATAGGGCTTCCAAGTGAACTCGTGCCTATGCCACAGCCGTCGCACCGAGGGCGTCCTCCAAAAGGGGCAGACCCGGGTGAGCAATTTGCACCAGAGAAAGACTCTGAAAGGAAGCTCAAGAGAGCGCGTGGGACTTAAAGGACTTGGAAAGACAGACTGTGAGCAGCAACCGTCTCCTTCACACAGAAACTTGTTCCGCGAACAAAGGCTTGTTGACCGGGGGACTACCCGTTCCAGACAACTCCGTAAAGAGCCTCAGAACCGAAAGCACACCTTCTACAGAGAGCGCTCGACCGTTCGTTTCCTTTGTTTTAGCTGCAAGGCCCACAAGACGCCAATCTACCCGTTCTAGTCAACAGAGAACTGCAGGATGCTCTCCGAGGTACTATGAAGGAGAAGCGTACCTTCAACAGAGAACTTTCATTCTTCCGCTCCCAATCTTTCCGCTGGAAGATGCACTTGACGCACTTTACCCGTTCTAGTTCCACAAACATTTGCAGGCACAGACTCCTTCTACAGGCGCTACAAAACGCGGAGCGTACCTTCAACAGAGAGCTCTCGATCGTTCGCTCCCCCTCTTTCCGCTGCAAGACGCACTTGACGCCGAGGCCCCCGTCCGTGGTCCTGACGTTGAGCAGTCGGACGTCCACCCCCGCGCCGCTGCCGTACCGCACTACACGGACGCCATCTGTAAGGAACGGCACATTAGCTGTGATCCTTGAAAGCGATCCTTGTGATTGTCCACACCTGATGTCTTGTGCTCCACCTGAAACACACTCTCTCATTTCCGTCCTGATTGTGTTCTTTTGACAATCCAAAAACACGACGGAAAAGTTGCAAACGGAAGGACCTCGGCTGATCGAACCGCTTTGCAGCACGAGCGAAGTTGCACAGCGTCTCAGGGTGTCTGCCTCAGGTTTTCCAGTTCTTTGGTCCATTCTGAAAAGAAACAGTGCTTTTACGGCGAACGATTCCGACATACAATCAGCAACAGAGAGCCAGGTTTCCCTTAGGTTCGAGTTACGACGGAGCGCCCGAGGCAGTTTCAATCGCGAACAGCTCCGAGGTTATCAAGCCGCCGAGCGTGCCCCTGATATCAATGCAGCCACGCTTGGGGTGGAAACATGCCTAGCTTACGCCCCTGGTTTTCTCGGCTGCTAAGGGGCAGACTCGAGAAGAGGATGGCTTAGAAAATTGCCAGCGATGCAACACACCTGAAATCGGTAGCGCAGCAACCAAGGGGTCATCCATGTTGAGAACGACCGTGTCACCCGCTCGCGCGGTTTCGAAGAGCTCGCCTTTGGCCTGCGCCACCGCTTCCACCGTACCCAACTGAAGGACGGGGACGACATGAGTGTTACTTGAGCTTTTAAAGTAGACCAGATTAAAATGCTACTTCTTGTCGAAATCAGGGCTCAGCATTTGCTTGTGAGATCGACAACTTTGAGCAAAAGTCTCAATGGTTTGCCCAAGACGTTCAGCATCTCTGCCCGAAGAACGACCCACCACGCCCAAAGTGCGAAGGTAAAAATTTTAGTGAGCACGACGAGAACGCGTAAACGAACTGTCACATCACCAGAATTCCGACATTGTTCCAGCTCCACAAGCTCAGTCGATCGTTGAAACAACAGAATTTTGCGCCGGAAAGCCAGACGGGGAGAGCATGACCACCTTGCTCGGTGCTGAAAGTTGAGTATACAAAGTGTTGACATACTTGGGGCCAATCTGAGAGCGGATGCTTCGGCATCAGGACCAAAAGTCGCTCGACGCAACTTCAGCATAATAAGGAGTAAACCGATTGGAGTTGAGAGGTACTTTGTGGCCTCTTAACAGAAAATCGGTTGGGTATGACGCTGTAGTACTGGCCATCCGACTGTTCAGTGGTTTCATGGCCGTCTTCAAGGTAGGTTGTCGTCAGCGTTTGATCTTGATGCCAAGCTGCAACTCTGTGCAAACATTTTGAACCTTCGCAAAGCCGGCCTCCAGCAGTTCACCAGGGCGCGTCTAGTTCAATGAGATGTTTCTTCGAATATCTATCCAAAATCTGCAGCGTAAAGCGTAACACCACCTAGCAAGGCGATCCAGAAAGTGACTCAAGTGTCGACGGCGTTGTCAGGCGTTTGTTCAAGATTGACAGAAGAGGAGGTGGACTGCTATATGGCTTCCTGGAGAAGTTGTTGGGCGTCTCTCAAACCGCCCACGAAATGTGTCCTCATAACCAGACCAATACCGACTCGCTGACCGGTATACTACGCAGGAAGTGTGAGGTTATAAAGAAGATTTACAAAAGAGCATCCACGCATCACAAGAACTAGACAAAGAGGTTCTGCAAAGCAGTTCCGAAAGACAAACACGGCATGCGAGACTGACAAGGTGAAGGGTGAAGGGTCACAATCAGGCCACGCCCCGCTTCTTTTACGTTATAAACATAGACTGGTACAACATATGCAGAGAAAAAGAAGAAGGACTTTCTTCCCGGGAAACGTTCAGGTCTGGAAAGAAAGGCTTGCTCACGTCCAGTTACCAAAGTCCCGCCTGCTCGTCTTAATATCTTTCTCAACGCGCTCAGAGCAGAAGCAAATGCGTCACAACCCACGATTTATTGGTAAGTGGCTCAGAGTAAGGCCGCGAATTTCTGGCGACCTATTTCTCGTGTTGAAGGAAGTGCTTGCGCGTCCTCAGGACTGAGACCTTCGCTTTTGGAAGCTCAGCCAGACTCCGGCCGGACAATCGTCACACGTTTACTAAATGTTCAATGCGCATTGCGCCGCTGTGCGCGCCAGTCTGCGTATTCCTCGTCTTGGTGGCCGGAAAACTGTAGGGCGCCCTCAAGGACGGATGGTAACCCTGTATGACTTGACGATGACTTTGCAACGTACGTTCTTTTCTCTGAACAGAAGATAGCACCAATCCATCTACTGTGAAACTTACATTAACAAGCTGAATCTCGTACTGGCTCAACTCTTTGCGAATGTGGGTTCCCTTCAAGGCGCCCAGGAAAGGCCTCTTCATAGCCAGCTCAAAGCTTAACCCATGATGGTATTGTGCAGTTGATGAAGACGATACTTGACAAGAGAAGTAGACTCGCTTCGAAGGACTCAAGATCAAGTAACCTTGAAGCAGAACAAGGCGCAAATTTATCTGGAGGTCCTCTGCCAGAAGTCAGGATTAACGGAACGGAGCAAGCGTACCAAGGGGTCCTTCCGGAAAAGGCTGCCAAGAACAGCTCTGGGCACTAAAACCTGGGGGCCTCGTTCTTCATGGAACTAGTATTGACCCCAGTGGTGACCACTTGGGAGAAGACAGGCACCGTCATGCTCATAATGGGTAGGCTTCACTGCATATGCCTCCTCCCTCAACAACAAAGAACACAATCCTGGATGAAGGAACACACTTTGGCGCAGCTTAGGCACAGTCCCGAACAGCTTAACCGATGGCTTAGCGAGTGACTTCCACTTGGCGAAAGAAAGAGTACGAGGACGAGATTAGCATTTTGGACGTCAAGTCTTCATGTTTCTCAGGACTGAAGTCACGTTCAAGAACGGGCAAAAAAGGTCTGTTGAAACAGACCGCCCTTTGCTCGACTGAACGTGACATAAGGCTTAGGGGATACACCTAACCGAAATACCTTGAAACCAAAAGTTCTTACAAATGCATCAAAGGCGGGATTGGCACGTAACAGACAGCATGGCCTCCTGTCTGGTAAAGCTTGCTAGACATGATGATGAGAAAGCACCAAAGCACAGAAGAGGCAAAGACGTATATCTCTGGCCGGCTCCTCTTCGTTCGAGCAACTGGGCTTGACCCCGGAAAGAGCTCGTCCTTGCCAGGCTTCCGCCCACGAAAGTATCTACTGTGTAATTTGAGAAGCCACAGCACCAAACGGCATGCGCCAGAAGTACACATGCTTTGCCATAAGCTGACGTGAGTGCCTCAATATCATTTCTCCCTTCTGGGCGGAGAGAAAGGAGCGTGCGTTGGATGCATTGTTGATCTCAGCACAACAAGGGTGATAGGTGCCATTTTTTGTTTGAAGAGGTCCTGAAGACAGAGTCAACACAAAACCTTATGGTCTTCTGACACCGGTGAACCTCGACCAGAAGAAGAGGCAAACGAAGTTCGTCTGGCTACTCGGATTACGATTGAATGTGTTAATCAGGGCTTCAGCAGTGCGAAGAAGGAATGGGCTAAGCAAAAGTGCGTGACGCCCATATCGTCACGCATCACTGCCTGACTACTTCGCCTCCCGAAATACGTTCCGAGATGTTGCTCCTACTCGTAAATATGTCGAGCACGGCATTCAACGATACCAACCCGGTACACAAACTGCAAAAGCTCTAAGGGTGCGCGTCGACCGAAAAGCTGCGAGAAGCTTTCCAGATTTTGCGGCCAATCGGATGGCTTTTCATATCCACGTGGTAACTGGAGGTACATACCAAATGCGTAATATGGCTTTACAAGTACCGTACCTCCTACCTGTCGGTACTACAAAGGCAACACTGGAGGCCAAGTAGATTTTTCGGTCGACGCGCAACCTAAAGCCCGAAGAGTTTGACCATCGCTTCATCCCGGCATCATTTCCAGAATCTCTTTGAGCATTTGTTGCTCAGAATGTCGAAGAGTTTCACTGCCAAAAGGGTGCTCGGTACCTTCCCATACTCGGAACGCGCCATGTGAGTGAAGTGGATACATGAATGAATGAATAAATGAATGCAGGGTCAGCTTGCACACCTTGATCCAACTTAGAAGGCGAAAAACAAGCAACGGACGGCCGCTGTCTCCTGGATGGAAATCTACTCAAACTTGGTAAACAGCCGACGGTCTCAAGTGAACTCAGAGCCTAGCGTTGCAAAGATGGGAACTTCAGCTCCCCTTTTTGACCTCAAGTCGTCCTGGGATCATTCAGAAGGTCAGGTGGGGCGTTGGAAGGAAAAGTTTCATCAAGACCTGGTCAAACAACGTTGACATATGGCCAGCCATTGGCGTCTGAAAAATCCGCGCCAGGTTTCTGCTAACAGAAGGCGCTTTCTTACATCCCTGCTAACGAGTACTATAGCAGAGAAGGCACGTGAGTGGAAACGCCAAACGCTGGGCGGAGATTTTCGTATTGCGGTAAGGCCGGAAAGTGACAGTGCTCCGTCCCATTCAGAGGCCGCAAGCCGAACAGAGACGGGCGTATATTGGCCGCCCACTTAAGGGAGACGGCTTCGAGGTTGCTCTCGATGAAGCTTTTCGCGCTCTCCCTGGTGCAAATAAACAAAAAAAGAGCAACAAAATCCGGTACGTTCTCAGATGTCCTTAAGGGCACCCCTGAGAAGGGCGAGCATATCAAACGCTGCAACCAAACAGCATACTATGCGAAGAAGGTGTTTTACTTTGGGCCTTTGCATGAATGTAAAGAGGTCGACAGGCGGTAAGACCCGTGATTGGCAGCCGACTCGCTCAAGTATCGATGAGACGGCGTTGGCTGATGCATTCCTATGGGCATGAACAGCCCAGCGTGTCTATCCTCCTTGCCGAAAGCTTGTCAGGCACAACCTCAGTTGAACATTCTTCTTTGATGCAGACTCCGATGAGGCTTTCGGCCAATGAGAAAGCATAGCTGCTGCCAAAGCAGATGCCTTTAGCTGTCACGGACTGAACAACCAAGGCGTCCACCAACCGCGGGCTGCGGCCTACTTCCGATTCTCCTCACAAAACCCCGCGACTTACACGAAAGAAGGCAGATGCGGAAAGACCTTAGCAGAACCCGGAAAACAGAGTTGCGGAAATGGGAATGGAGCAGTTACGTTCGTCCGGTACTGACGTAGGACCAGACCTCTGGGACGCTCTCGGGACTTGGGGCCTGACCGACGAGACCCCATCAAGGTTCAAAAACGTAGACAAAACCTCGGCTTCTGGCTTGACACCCGATTTGCCATTGAGCTTAGGGCTTATTTCAAGGCTCTCAAAAGTGCATCATAACCGAGTGAGATTAATAGCTTCGATGAAAGGCACCCCTCAGACATTGCAACAGGCACCGCAACAATCTGCCACGGCCGCGAGCAGCGGTGAGTCAGAAAGCGGAGCCGCTTAAGAGGGCTCCAAATCAAGTCGGGTGCTTTTGGGGTTTTAGGGGTTAGTATCCTGAACAGAAGTCTTCATGCACGAAGTTGCGGGTGGCGAAGCAAATGTACCAGATTTCCAATCTTGCAGAGTTTGGTAGGACACCTCTCATCGGATACAAGGGGGCCTTGTTCACAACACAGCTAGTAACGGCCGCTATCACTTGCTGCCCATCGAAAGTTGCGAGCTGCAAATTCCAGCAGAAGATGTTGTGCTTCAGCATAGAAAACGACACGTACAAGCCCTTCTCATCAGAAGACAAGCAGCCGTCATGATTATAAGGATAGAGAACCACTGCCTGTGACTCCTCCGTGAGAATGCCCAGCGAAGCGTCCCCTCTCCTGGGTGCGTACACACAAGCAGACGCAAACAGAGAGCCAGAACCGAACCGCGCGGACGGTGGCCCAACGAGTTATATCCACCTTTCGAAGAAGCCATTGATGACTGGACCCTGGGGTCCCAATCTTTCTCGGGGATGAAGTCACGTTGGAAACAAAACAAGAGATCCTGGTCACCTACACCGCTGTTCATGCGACTAAAAGTGAAGAATAATAGCCGAATCATGTGCATCTCTAAATACCAAAATGGCAAAGCGAGTGGGGTCTGTCGCAGGAGCCCTTGCTTTCTATCGTTCAGCAGGTGGGTTCTTACATCCTTGCTAACAATGATATTAGGAAATGGCACATAGACGGTCTCACAGAGTCGCTGGTAGATCTTTTTAACTGCGGCAATGCCAATTAGCAGGGTAATCCCAGCATGTTGCAAAACCGACGAGCCAATAAGAGGCGAGCACATGTCGGGCCGCCCAATTAGAAGAAGGACACTAAGTTCGCCATTGATGCAGCTTTTGCGCTCCTCCCTAGTGGGAAGCAAGGGATAATTATTGAGAAAGGACGGCCTACTTTATGGAAACGATGTAAGGACACCGCTGCAAGAGGCAAGCGTTCACATTTTCACAGCGTTAAAGGTACCCCAGCAAACGAAGTAAAACCCAGGGCTCTTAATCTCGATGAAAAAGGCTGAACAAGCCACAAAACCAGTGAAGGTCAGCCGGATTGCTGACAGCAACGAACGGCGTCGGGATTGGGTTACTTCATTGGCTTGACCAACCCAACATCTCCAGTCCTCCTTGCCACAACCATGTTAAGCACAGCGAGGTTGCACGATCATTATCGAGCCGGAGTGCAGAAAGCACATGTTGCTGCCAAGCAATCCGTTAAGCATTGTCGGCCTAAACAGTCAAAGACCTGATAAAACCGCGCTGCGGCCCTTCCTTACCACACAAAGGCCACTTCCGAAAGGGTCGCCGAAGTCACGAGGATAGAGTCGCGGGACATAAGTGAAGAACATGCATAAGAGGGCAACACGACATGTGTTTGTCGTTGAGATTCTGACACGGATTAAGGACTTGCAAGCTGACGACGCTGTCGCATTCAACTTGCTAAGGGGATAAGGAAGTCGGCGACAGCAGAATCTCGCAAGGGCCAATGAGCACAGCGCTTCTCCGAAGGCTCTTCGAAAGTGCATCATAGCCGACGAGGCCAATAGCTTCACGAAAGGCGCTCCACAGAAACCGCAAGAGGCTCCGTACTGATTTTCCCCGGCCGCTAGGGGCGGCCGACGACAGCTTGACGGATTCTGAACGAGTGTTCGACTGACCAGCCAGGGGGCCCGACCAGCAGGAAGACAAGATATATGAAATGATGACGGGATTACTCGAGTGCAAAAGGTTGGATCCCGAGGAAAAGGCAGATTTAAAAACAGAAAAAGTCTCCTTACACGGCGAAAGCAATAGGATCCGAAAGCCGCACAGCGAAGGCTTCATAGTGCTGGCAAAGAATCAAAGAAAGAATCAACGGCCATTGCTGACCAGTCGTTCATAAAAGTTGGCCGTACGGAGGGAAGCGTGGCGAGGGCCCGGCAAACAGAGCCAGTGCTCCTACTTTTGATAAGAAAAATGATATCCAGGCCAATATGAAAGCGGTAACGTTCTTCGGTTAGGACCAAACGACTTTGGAAAAGCCGCCTTCCCAACATCCGCAGAGTTTCGAGCTTCTGAAAGGTGCGGCCGAGGGTAGCAATCCGTTTACGAACGACGAATATGTCAAGATTCTAATGCGGGAGACACTGAGTTGGCGTCAGATTGACTTACGTGCTCGGCAGTCACGCGGGGCCTTTTAAGATCGTCAGTTCAGAAGGCAGACAGAGCATCTTTGACAGGTATCAGAATCTTCGTGCACGGAACTGATGGGTTGCATGGCGTCGGCTTTCAGTTCGGACGAGTGGGCTATCAAAGGAATCACCCAGCGTGACTTTCCCTCATGGCCACGCAACATTCATAGATGGCGCAAGCCAGTAGAAAGAGCCATCGACTCTACCAGTCCAGTAGCAACCGGATTTGGCGATCCGGATGAGACACGACAAAAGTGCAGCATTCACATGACGCGAAGAACACCCCCGCCGGTACGTCGACTCAGGAAGAAGCATAAAGGCTCAAGCGTTTCATCGAGAGCGGACAGCTTCTCGGTACTCACCCCTTCGAGATGCACTGGCCCGACGTTGGTTATGAGTCGAACGGTGGGGCGGCAGATCCCGGCCAGCTCGGCTATCTCCCCGGCGTGGTTCATGCCAAGCTCCTGCAGAAGCGTAGCTAGGCAGTGTGAGCTCAATTTTGAGAGGGCCGGCCCGTAGAAGTTCAATTGAATACGAGACTACGAGTCCATTTTCTGCGCGACGCCCCTTCTAAAGCCGAAACGTACACCAGAGTGGACACAGGACCGTCGCTTGGATCAGAAAAGATGTCATACACGGGCAGATGCTTGATGAACGGGTTTCAATTGTGCTCAAAACCGACCTCCTCGGAAAAGAAGCAGTGCTCACAGACTGACACCGAGCTTTGGCTTTTGAAAACACGTTGAATATTGATGTCCTTGCCATCTGCTTCTCTCTTGAGAGCCCGCATGCGACGTAGGTCGTTCCGTCCAAGAAGCAGCCCCACCCATGCTGACAGTTCCGTCCGCTTACGACCAACTGAAGCACCTAGTGCAAGGTATGTCTCTATCAATCACAGAATCACGAACCGTATTATACAAATTGACCAAATGACTATGCTTGAGCCTTCGGGTCCTTATCAGGTATAAGCAATTGATCTGGGGCCAGGTTTCCCTCTCGGAGTGGTGCCTTCAGTCTCTACTATTTGTCTCGTGTTAAAGGATGAGAAGTTCTGCTCAGTCCATTCTCCCGCCCAGCACGGAATCGCTAAGAAACATCATCGAATACAACTTACCAGCACCAAAGCCTTCGAGTGACAGGGGGTAGCGAGCAGCGTCAAGGGGACCCCGATGTGATTGTTCAGGTTGCCGCGTGTCTCATGCACGTGGCCCTGTCAGGAGGCCAATCCTGACTTCAGAAGTTGCCCCACTCGGCAACCCAGACCATGATTTTCAAATCCTGCTCACTTTCGTTCGAGGCGCTCAGGAAGGTAGGCTAAGAAAACCAGATGGACCCTGCCATAACCGTTGCCGCTGGAACAGCCTGATGCGTCGGGTGAAGAGAGATATCAAAGCCGAAACTCGGTGACTGACTAACGCACCTGGCACCTCTTCCCAAAAAGAGAGAAGCACAGGATGCCTTTGAGGTGCCACAGTTGGCGACACTAATTTGTTCATACAGTCGCACAAAGAACTTCGATAGAGAGCCAGTACTGGAAAGCAGTAAACGGCCTTGCGGGTCCCCACGGCAAAGCTCTTTACGTTGGATAGCACGTTCATATTATGATTTCTAGACCCGCGTTTGATATCTGCGGCCCCAGATTTCTGCTGACTTTTGAGCTTCCTTGACTAGGAGGGGCTTGAATGGCGCTGTCTCTCACCAGCGAGCGTAGTGCGAGTCCAACCATTGCGCGAGTCCCCGTCTTTCCAGAGCTGCCTGCAGAAGGCGAGAATGAGATATGATGCATATGTTGCAGCTAGAAAAGGACAACTCTTCAGGACGAAAGGAAAGAGGAACGCATATCGCAGTAAGTCGAGAGCCACCATAATCCAACGCTAAACAACCTCAAGACGTGGCACCATCTGATGAGGATTGTGTGGTCCTTCGAATCCCGCTATGACAACACACAGTCGTTGGGTGAGAGCCTGGAACAGAAAAAAGGTCCAGCCAGCTGACGACAACATTGAGGATAGAGTGAGAGGGGAACGAATGCCAGAAGACGCCAGGATAATGGGTCTCACACCGAGTGTTTGAAGGCACCTGAAAGGTCAACAGTTGCTTGGGACAAGAGTTCGGAATACATGCAGGTGCTGAGGGAACTCGAAGTAAACCTTAGACGTGTCCCAGGGTAGAAACAGGACACCAATCAAATCTATCCATGGAAGCTGGAATCCATCCTTCTTCCCGGGTGGAGCCAGAGACTATCTCACCCGTGATACCAACGACCGGGCCCTGGGATCGGTCCCGGACATGAGAAGCTAGCTGCTGGAGAGCAACCAGTGTGTCATCCACTTGAAGGAAGCCGCGAGACCAGTTGGAAGGCACGGCGATTCCAATCGCCCCGGCGATTCCAATCGCCCCGGCGCTGGCAACAAACAAAAAAAGCGTGTTAGGCAGGAAAGAACGCGAGTGACTACCTTGTTAATCATGTTCTAGATTGTTTAGCAGAGACTAAAGGGGCCATCGCTGGTGGGATTAAAACAGACATGTGGCTATGTTTGAACAGCTTTGGGAGACAGACGCACCAAAAGCAAAACTTTCCTCCTTGATAGTGGGAGGCCTCCGATGCTTTGGATTTGACTGAAGCAGTGCCAGAGTTATCGTGCTCTTATGCCGACAGAAAGTTGCATCTGAAATGGAAGTGGAGAGCGAGATCAGCATTCTGTCTGCATCGGCTGACGTGGGTTGAGAAGCAAACTCCCAGTTATCATCTGGTTCAGTATTGGTGGACCCATCTTGAGATTGCGCTTTATCAGGGAACAGCCGTTTCCTACACTTGACTTGACGAATCCGAAGCGTAGGTCCTGAAATAAAAGCAGAGACAACAAGCTCAAGCTTTGAGGTTGTCCATAGAAACTCACCAGCCTTTCTCTGCAACTTCGTTCAAGAAGTCGTGCCCATCGAAGCGGTCACCCTTCAAAGCAAGGAACCAATCCCCCTCCTGGACGATGCGGCTGCACAGCAATTGCTTGTCAGTGTCAGAGAGCACTTCCACAAGAAATCTTAATTCGGAAAATCGAAAACGGAGAAGAAAAGTGAGAGGTACAGAAACAAAATGCAGCTTATATGCCCTATGATCTGAACTTGGCCGCAGAAACCGTTCAAATGCAATGGTTTCTTGTGTGGACCTGAGATCTGTAGCCCTCAAGGTCCCATGTTAGTCAAATTGACAAGCCTCCTTTGAACAGAATAGATTGCACCCTTCAAGAAAGAGAATCAGACTGGTAGAAAGGTCTGCGTCAATCCTTGCAGATCATGATCTCCTGGCTAGAGGGGCTAACATACATCAACATACCTGTCGGTGCAGATACTGCCCGGTGGCCCATCTTTCAACAATTTGCCCCCTGTACGAAACAAAAGCACGTTCAGGCATCTATGCCACAGCGCATAACCAGCTCTTTCTTCGCCTCTTTTTTAAAAAGGTTCAAACGACCTGGTTATAATTTAAGCGTCTTTTACCTTCAAAATCATTTCAAACCAGGCGCTTGTGGCTTCTACTGTGAAGCTTGGGCACATCCAACCAAAGCAAGCTTAGCGATGCATCGCTAGCTCTAAAGTTACTCGAAGACCCCGTGTTGAATGCCACTATAATCCAAGGGGCAGTAGCAACTGAGTAACCCAAGAAAAGGACAGCATTCTCTTTCACAGTGCACCTGTTGTAGGCTATGCACCATTTCACACTAATCTTGAAAGACACACCAGATATGACCCAGACTGAGGAAATATGCATTGACAGAGGACTCCATGCGCGAATCTTGCCTGTTGCTTTCAACAGCTCTTCTGGGCTGAAAATGACACCATGCCTTCCATCCTGCCAGCTCTGTGCATCTGATTTGGGTGGTGCAGTGTCGGTCGAAGTCACGGCCGCGACCCGTGCGCTATGTGAGTCCCTTTGGGGACTACTTTTCGGGCGGCCATAACACAAAGGTTTGCTGGATTGAAAAGCAAGGCTAAGCTGTTTGTGATTTACATAAATGCCATGTCTTCCATTGGTATGCGAACAGACACTCGTCTTCTGGCGCGGAGCTGGCAGCGGGAGTTGGACTTCTCCTGGACAACTTTCTTTCTGGAGAATTCCTGCCCCCAAGCTGATTTGATATGGCTGTGCAAGAGCAGGTGAGAAAGTGCCGGACCCCATTGTTCACTTTCCTTAGGCTTTCATCTCAGCTTAAATCAGCGGATAGAAAGAGATGAAGCACTTGACCATACTTTCTAGCGACCTCTTCCGGCCTCCTGACTTTTGCCATTGGCATTGGAAAATGCAAATTGCAATGCAGACATTGCATGTTGCGTGCATTGGCTTCGTCACAACTTGAACTTCCAGGTGGGTTGAGCGCCTAGATTCTTAACCAAGCATTAACCCGGTCACATAGCCTCCCGGTCATCGGTCGCCGGACTCAAACATGGCCTCATGTGCTAGAATAAACGACCCGGTTCACTTCACTCCGGCCACCCTTGATAAAACCTGCCAAAACCCAATCGGGTTACGATTTTTGGCGCGAAGGGTTACATAAATCGATTCGTGCAGAGTCGGAAATAGTCTGAGCTAGGCGCCATTTCATAGCGCAGAAAACAGGTGACATGTCCTTGCAAGGGAGCTTCCTACGCCCTATCTGTATACGGTATATGATCCAATTCTCAGGAGAAGCGCCACCATCATTTCCTGGTCTGCATTGGGACTCAGCAAGGCTTACGGAAGGTTATACTTTAAGGCGCGAGAGGGAAGGGCTTCAAAAGGACAGTCCGAGTTGTCACAATGGCGCAAGAGGGCCATGCCATGCTGACCAAGCAGGAAGCGGCTGTGTATGATAGGCACATCTGGGTCTTGGGGGGTGGAAGCACACAAGAGGTGCGTAAAAGCCCTCCAAGCAGACTTTGCATAAAACTTTTTTTTGTTGGAAACCTATGCAATCATCCAACTCGAACTCCAGCTTCAGCTCACAACCTGTCGCCTTAAGTATCCGTGCATAGTCTTTGCTAGTGTCTGTGTATGAAGCAAAAAGTGTTTGTTGGAACAGTCAAAATGGGCTTTGCATTTAACAACCGCTTGGTTTATTTGAACGCGAAACTTGGTAAGAAAGCAGTGGTGGAATCTCACCACCTCTTTTTCTCTGCTGCTGTGGCTTGAGCTCTTGGTTGCCCAGATAACTTACTTGAAGCGTCGTCTATGGTGCATCCAGTGGATACTAAATGGGTTCTGGCTGACTCAGCATTGATCCATTGCTGGCGACTAATCAATCTTTATATGAAGCGCGGCTGAGATGTCAATTCCAAGTACGTGGGCCCATTATTGGTGTCACTTTTTCATTTGTAGTTGACTCTCTCTGACAGGCACTCAAAAAGTCACTCCCCTCTCTTGACAGGATGAGCAGACCCAACTTCCTGGTGGGGGGTGCCACCACCGGCATCATCGCGGAGGCCCTGAAGAAATTTGTTCTGGCTGGAGTGGGGTCTGTGAACCTTGCTGATGACAGTCAAGTTTCCTTCTCATACCGGGCCTCGTAGACACTGGTGCGTCAATGGGGGCAGCGTGCCCGGCAGCGCTGCGGGACCTCAATCCAATGGTGGCTATCGAACGGTCAGAGCAGGTGAGCTTTGTTCTGACATTTAGAAGTAAGCAACAGGATTGTGCATCAAGAGTGAATTTCGGCAGCGACATCTTTCCTCATGGCGGCCTATCATTTTGAGAGAGGTGGCACGCACTGGTTGTCCACTTTTCCCTGGGTATTGAGCATGTTTCCATCTAGAAATGACCCGTCGTTGACTCATGAACTTGCATCTTCTCTCAGAGAGTTCTGTAGCGAGTAGCAAAGGTTTTGGTGAATCCAAAGGGACTTTGGCTAGTGCTCCTTTATGTCAATAATGAAGTAGACATGTTCACACCCCAAATCCTGGTTGACTATTTGAACCGTAAAATAAAGGAAAGGCTGGCTGAGGAACCGAGAGACCGCGCGTTCACTTACTAGTGAGACCGCGCTCACATACTAGAAAGCAGATCTGTGTAAGCCCAACTCTTAGCAGACAACATTGGCCTTTTTCTGAAGATTAGATGACAATCAAGCATAAATACTGGACAGACGTGAATGGCTATGGAAAGAAGTGGTTCAAGGTGACTGGACTCAGGCAGTCGAGAAGTGAACCGTGGAAACTTTGCTTGCAGGAACACTGCGAATCAGGCGCCAGAGTTCTCTGTCCCTTCACTCTGTTTCTACTAGGTCGGGTGCCCCTTGACTTAAAGGTGAGAGGATCACAATAATTGGCGCATTCAATGCTGAAGGCGCAGCAACCGAGTCTCTCCTCACTAGAAGCTTCAGCTTGACATCCAGCCAAACAGAGTGGCCCTTGCTTTTGTGCCTCTGTTCCCAAGACCGTTCATATCCTGGGTTGCGGTTCTAATTGCAATTGCGGCTGTAAAGACGGCTATGTAAGCCATGTTTGCACACTTCAGTCGAAGGGATCGACTGGAGCGCTACTCTTCCAGCAGCCTGGGAGCCAATAGGAGGGGAAGTGGTCCAGCGCTTCAGTGGGGAGCTATGCATCCGGGCTGTCTGCCAACTATTGGCCTCGATGAACAATAAAGACGACATCTCTTGAAGAGGTATGCAGTAGCGGTTTGACTCATTCCCCACGTGTTTAGGGGCAAGTAGAGATTGCCCGATCTTGTCCCTGTCTCATTTGATCTGGAGCAGAGATCTGACCCACTTCGTTTGCGGGGTCAGCTAGTCGTGACAACTTCATTGCCGCTCGTGTTAGTAAAACCAACTGAGCAGGTAATGCTTGCTGCAAGCATGGATAGCCAGAAACTAAAAAGGAACCAACAGAAGAAAACTGTATCCAAATCTACGATGCGACCAAACGGTACTTAAACAGGACTTGACAGCAGACGACCGCTTCGGCCGCCTCTAGCTTGTCGTAAATTTATTCGCTTCCAGGTCCCGTTCCACTTTGTGGCCGGTCTGTTCTGATTTGGTCCCTTGGCGAGCCGTCCATTTACTGCCGTTCTTCCTGAGGGGTTTGGTGGGAAAGCCGTTCTGTTCGAGGTATCTGAGCTGACCCCCTCCGTCGTGGAGCCTCCTCTGCTATTGCAGGTTCGGTCAAACCTGGCCGCCTGACCTGACTCTGCTTTCAGCCCGTCGCAGAACTTGGCCGAAAGCCCGGAACCTGGGCCGTTCGATGAATTTTGTCCTAGCATCCGAGGGTTCAAGTTTTGCGCATCGGGCAAACTTCTGCGATCGGCTCAAATCGGACTCGGGTCAAGCGGCCAGGTTTGACCGAATGTGCAATACACCCAATCTCTTTCCAAAGATTGTTTCCGTACCAAGTCTTGTTCCGAGTTGATGCCAGTCCGTGCTGACTGTCTTCTGATCTGACCCCGTTTCGTGCTGATTCCGTCCATCCTAAGGACATCCCTGTTTTGATCATTCCGTGGCTGGGTTATGGCGAGTCCGCCGGGGGGAAGCGGATCTGTTGCTAAATCCAACCGGTGTTGATGCTGCCCGGTTCGAATGGCAAAATGTGATTTAGTTTCCGCTTTTTGACGTTGCTACAGGTACGAACATTGCAGGCATTGCCCAGCAGAAACTGGACCGGATGGGAGAGGACGTCAGCGAAACCATCAACAACGTGAGCACAACGGAGGTGCGCTCTAGGGTTTTTCATTTACTCTGGCGTTTGTCGCATCGCGAGCACGAAAACTCTGGTCCGAAAGTTTGAAGCCGTCTGAAGCGGAGGTTGGACGTCAAAGCTGGCCCTTTAGCGACACTTCGGAAAAGTTACAATGTCGTCTTACCTTCGGTCTCTCAGGTTGTTTGCGTAAAAGCAAACGGATATAACTAAGATTCTTCAGAGGAGACAGAACTTGAGCGCTGACATGGGCCTGCAGTCGGGTCTCCACATGCGGCTCTGACTCTCTAACAATCTGAGAACCCTCCGGTCGTGCAGACTTAGAAGTTTGGAAAGAGGATAGCGACTCCTGCTTGCAAGCTCGATAGGAGGACGACGTCTGCTGCCGCTGCCCTTAGCTCGTGAACCCGCGGTCGGAAAATCAACGAACCGTTCCTCTTATCCTCAGCAACATCGACGAGAACCTTAACCGATTCCCAGCCCGAGTACCTAACTGAAGGACACGATCACTTTGATCGTCGGGGCTCCGCAAGTTGGCCTTACTTGCACTTATTGTAACCGTGCTCCTGCAGATTAGGGATGGGGCTGCCGCGGCCGGTGCGAATGGGCTTGATGTGGTGGTCCGCATAGTGACATTCATCTTAGCTCGCTTGTATCGTCTAAACCGAAAGGTGAGGCGACCTCTGCAACTACCCACGCTCTAACTCATCCCATACATACTAAGCAATCAGGGAGTAAAAAAGACAACCACGTCCAAGTGTTGGGAAGGCTTGCGCTTCAGAGTGGGTCTTGCTTTCTTAACAGACTCTTGTCTTCGAGATTGCTCTCAGCATGGGTTCCGTGATCCGCCTCGTGGTCTTGGAGTCTGGCAAAGCTATCGCTGGAACCTGGGGCTCTGTGAGACACAAACCTCGAACCGTGAACAGGAAAGGCAAGGACGGCAGGAAACTCAAATTTGAGTACAGAGGGGGCACTCTTTGAAGCCCTTTCTGGCTTACCGTGGTCGACCACCCTCATCTTGTGTTTTTGCCTACAATTTTAGCTTGCATGTGTATATTTGATATCTGCAGTGAGCCTTCGATCGGAAAGGAAAGCACGTTCTAAAACTCGTCGCGATTCTTCCCCTCTACAGCAAAATCCTTGGTGGCACCGTGCTGACTCTATTGGCAGACCCGAGTCAACTGGAGATGGCCGATATGATAACCGACATTAAACTAAACTTCCAATTCTTTGAGCAAGCAAAGAACGGAAGAATGTCTAGGAGCCGCTTTGACTGGATCGGGAAGCAGCGCTTAGCATAAGGCCTCCTTGGAAACCCGTTACAAGATGAAGTCCTGCCGAAAACCGTGGGGTCTTTACGTAAACTGTTCCTATGTCTGGTGGTCTCAAAGCAGGGCACTAGCCGCGAAGTGCACTCGATGAGACCTGCCAGATAGCAATCTTGGCAGGTGGCTGCCACAATGAATTGCGTAATCTCGGAGCTCAGTGCGGGCCATGTTCTTATGTCCGATCGTCGCGTGCAGCCCAAGGCGGCCACATGGTTGCGCTCTTTGGAACAGGTTTAGGCGGCATATATGCACTTTTGTTGGCAAATTTCCCCGTAGTTGAAGGAACTTGGAAGCGCCCCCGTTTGGAAATTATCCCAAGTGGCAGTGAGTCTGGCAGAACGCGTTAGGCCCAGTCCATGGCATGACACCATGCCACCATTGGCACGGATGAGTGATTGACCTCGGAGTACAACCTACATAAGTGGCACACGTCAAATAGCCTAGTAGTTGGCACGCCTTCAAAATACGACGTGCAAATCATTGTCATTCAGTATTGCATGCCTCAGATAAAATTGACATGCACAGAAATTCAAGGGAACGTCGCATGGTCCTTTCCGACCTGCATGGCGCCGAAACTAATCAAGGCCGTAACATGTCGGTGGCGGGTCGGAGAAGACTGCGACTCCCTTAAGGAAATTCATGAATTCAATGATTGTATGTTCGACAACGTTGCATGAATCACGTTGCATCCAATGATCTGGCGGCCGCCATGCGAACCTAGCTACATTATTAGCGCCTCTGCATCAGCGCCAATGGTCGGATGTCATCTACCATGCGACCGACCAGCCTATCAAAACTTGAAAACCAGACATCCATGCAAAAGCTTTGCAAACAACACCATCCAGTGACGCGGTGCATGTCACGTACTAACATATTTCGCTTCCTAGCCTCGGGCCTAGAGTAGATGTGTGACACCGCACATATTCTCCATCGATCTAGGGCAGACCAAACGCACAACGACTTTGATGGGGTCAATCTAGCAACGCAAGATGCTCCCGCAAGATCCCAGCGGTTGCAGCAACATTAGCTCGGAGGTAATCAGAGTTTAAATCTCAGGTTCGCAAAGCAGAGTCACGTCCAGAATTTCTTCGAATCGAGGCAGAGTCATGTGCATATGTCAGGACTTCTTCCCGCCAGATAACAAAGGGGCTTCCCTCAATAAAGAGGGTCCCGAGCTGGCAACTAGCCTGAACGTACTTTGGAGCGGATGGAGTCGACTACTCCAATCTGCTCTATACGGACACGATCATCTGTCCAAATACCCTAACTTCTTTCGGGGACGTACACATCTGGGGGTACGTGCACCGAAGCTGTCCTAAAACTACAATGCGATTTGCGAGGTCATACACAATCAACACTCAAAGCCGCATCCACAAGCCATAATCTACAACCCGTCCATCAGCAACACAATCTCGCCGGCCATCTGCAACACGTTTGCACGCTAAGTCCGGTGCAGTGACTTCGACCCAGACAAACAACGCCACGAAGCAAGCAAAGTTACTATCAAGCAATCAAAGCAATCAGCAATCGGACTTCAGACCTCCGCTCGCCTAAGAACGACCAGCTGGAATTCCGCATGCTCTGTATGACGGGAAAACGACAGGAAACCGAACGGGACAACTCAAGATTTCGTCCTGCGATTTAACTGAGAGGATGCAGAGGCCGCTCGCCAGGCACCCCGCAGTCTGTCAACCGTTGCTGGGCCCAGCTTCGGCGGAAACATCTGCAAACGGGAGGAGGGAGGCCATGATTTACTGAAGCAGCGCATGCCATGTAAACATGGGTTTAAGCCACCACGTGCCACGAAGTTTCTGAAACGAACCAACCCCTGATTCTCAGGACCGTTTCGTTAAGATGGACGCGACAAAGGTTGCTTGCCGTCGAGATCTGCGGCCCTCTTAGCGAAGGATACATTCAGCAGAACGAGCAGAATTCTGCGACGGGCCCAGCCGATCCGGCTTGTGCAACATCAGTACTTTAGACATTCTTCCATTTCCTCCTACTGGACGAAGACGGTCTGCTTGAGTGGGCAGACGACCGCGCACACGCCAACGAGAAGAGTCGGACAAGGCTGTTGATGCAAATTGTGAACAGCCGTCCCGCCTAAGCGGACGCTTCGCCGCCCAAAGGGACTCAGATCTCAAGGGCAAAAGTCATCATCCACTCAAGTCATCGTCCATCTGAACACCTAACACGAGTCAAGACTGTGGTCATTTCAGATTACCTAGCACCTTATGACAACATGGTTGTAGTCCTGACAAGCAGGTAATCCAAGCAGAGTGACTAGAACAGGTCCCTTACCCTCAACGTGCTCCAGAATCTCTGCATCGTCCGCCACCAGTCGCGATGCGCTGCGCCCCCCCAGGGCCCCCCTCATCCCGATTGCTTCCGCGCCATCCGGTTTTGTCGGTTCCATGCGGCCCAGTTGCTTTTCCAATGCCGCTTTGTCAAAGGACCGATCCAGATGCGCTTTCGCATCGTCAGCGAGCCTTTTCAGCTGCTCATCCGAGTTGTCGTCCATCGCTTTCGACGCGCTCACCAGCGGAATGTCCACCCGGATGTAGTTCTCCTCTGCTCCAAAGCTCTTGAAGAGGCGTTCGACCTCGTCGTGAACAACCATCGCGCTCCCCTTCATCGACGCTTTGACGAGGTACCCAATCCAACCAAAGAAACAGTAGCAGCCCCTGGGGCGCGCTCTTTTTGACTGGTCACTGCTTGCATGGTCCTCCTGAGATTGAACGGGTTTAAAGCCAGTACCCAAAGAAACCACAAACAGGTTTCTCAGATCCACCACGTGGTCTCTTCCCTTGTCCTCGAAGTACTTCCTGTTTTCCAGGGCATGGGTGATTGCCAACATAGTGGGGTTGTTGACATAAATCCCGCCATCAAGGAACCGCTTCCCGTCAAGGACGGCTGGCACAAAGAAGGTCGGCGCGGCCGAAGTAGCCCGGCAAACCTCGCGCAAAAGCTTTCCGCGATGCTCCTCCCGAAGGGAGCTGAAGACCACCGGCCGGTCGTTGTCGACCTCATATGCCGGAATCACTAAAGGAGTGAGTGCATCTTCGAGCCTTAACTCCCCAAGCTGTTCCTCCAGCTCGCGTTCTAAAGGTCCGGCAGCATGCTTCGGGAAGCAGCACCAGCCGAAGCAGCGGAGGCGGGCCCAGAAACCCGAGAAGATCCGCTTCCCCAAACTTCGGTACACGCCCTCGATTTCTGCTGCAGAAAACATCGGCTCGACTGCGTCGCGGTTCAGGTCCTTATTGGGGGCACAGAGCATCGTGGCAATGATTCCCCCCGTGCTCGTTCCCGCAACGATGTCGAAGCAATCGTGCAACGGCCTTGACTGGTCTCCTCCCAAGGCCTGCTCAAGCCGTCCAAGCCATTCTGCAGGCAACACACCTCTGATGCCGCCTCCATCAATACTGAGGATTCTGACTGGTTTGACTTCCTCTCGCACTTGGCTCAACCTGTCGGCAATGGCAAACGCTGTTCCAGCCACATGGAGACCTAAATTGCTCGCCTTTTGAAAAGCGTGCTTTGCCCGAGCCCAGTCCTTTGGTACCCCGCTACCTCGCGAGTACAGAAGCCCAATGTTGAAATGTGCACACTCGTTCTCCTCAAGGCCGTTGGCCCTTTCATAAAGTTCCTTGGCGTTCAGAAAGTCTTCAACTCTTGCTCCGAGTTTGCATTGAAGAGTGCTTCCCAGGTTCACCATGGCCATGGCGTTGCCTAAGTCAGCCGCCTGCCGCCACAATGCCACCGCCCTCGCCTCGTCCTTCTCCACCCCCATGCCACGCGCATAGCACCCTCCCAGGTTGGACATGGCCATGGCATCCCCTAGGTCAGCCGCCAGCCTGTACAGCACCACTGCCTCGGCTTCGTGCTTCTCCACCCCCGTGCCACGCTCACAGCACACTCCCAGATTGGTCATGGCCCTGGCGTCCCCTAGGTCAGCCGCCCGCCGGAACAGCGCCACTGCCTTTTTCTCATCCTTCTCCACTCCACTCCCATTCATGTGGCACCATCCCAGGTCGGTCATGGCTGCGGCATCACCTAAGTCGGCTGCCTGTTGGTACTGCGCCACTGCCTCCGCTTCGTTCTTCTCCACCCCCCTGCCATTCTGGTAGCACACCCCCAGGTTGAACATGGCCCTGGCGTGCCCCAGGTCAGCCGCCCGCTGGTACAGCGCAACAGCCTCCGCTTCGTTCTTCTCCACCCCCATGCCATTGGCGTAGCACACTCCCAAGTTGAACATGGCCCTGGTATTCCCTAGGTCAGCCGCCCGCCGTAACAATGCCACTGCCTTTGCTTCGTCTTTCTCCACCCCCGTGCCAGTACGGTAGCAATTGCCCAGGTTGGTCATGGCCCTGGCGTACCCTAGGTCAGCCGCCTGCTGGAACAGCGCCGCTGCCTTTTTTTCATCCTTCTCCACCCCACTCTCCTTCATGTAGCACATTCCCAGGTCGGTCATGGCTTCGGCATCACCTAAGTCGGCTGCCTGTTGGTATTGCGCCGCAAGCTCCTCGTCCTTGTTTGCCATTTGGGCCGCTGCAGACGCTTCGATTGTTCACAATGTGTTTTCACATTACCGCAGTCCACAATGCATCGTCCTTGACCAACCAGGAGACGTAAACTCGCAAAAGATGGATTACCCTTGCAAGAAAGCCTTCATCTGAAAGTAGGCTTCTCCGCCGCGTCTCTTGCAATGCTGTTCTGAATTCTGGATGCAGCACCAGCACCAGCAATTGGTGTGCCCTATCCACCTCAGACCTAGCGGCTCATTTGCAGGGGTTTAAAATGGTTTTAAATTTTATAAACAATCTTCCCTCGGGAATCGCCACCGCCCGGCTCAAATGCCCATCTCCGCCTGCTAGGATCCGCCGAAGAGCAGCCGGTTTGCTGCCGCTCACCTCAGGCCATTCCGATTCGGCATGCCAACGTGGTTCCAAACCACCAAAATTCCCCTTTTTGGCGCGAAGGGTTACAAAAACCTGTTCAGCCTGGCAGAACCAAGTAGCGCCCTGATTTTGAGCTCCTACATAACCACTGTTTCCTTAGCGATCGTTGAACACAGAGCAGGAGGTGTGCCACCTCTGTCCTGCTTTCCGGGTTTCCCAGACCTTCCTGCTTTCTTAGTCTTGCCGGTCTGCTTCGCCAAAGAATCTGGTGAAAAGGAAAGATACATCCAAAGGCTCGCAAAAGGAGGAGCCTGAAAACAGGACAATCCGATTTGCTGCAATGGCAGACGAGGGCAATGCCATGCTGACAGAACAGGAAGCGGCGGTGTATGACAGGCAAATTCGGGTTTGGGGGGTGGAGGCACAAAAGAGGTGCGTTGAAGCCCCTTTTGAAGAAAGCCATCGTGGTGTTGATCCGCATTATCTGTAAAGATGTTATTTGAGAGCCACCCTTTCCCCCTGGTTTCCTCATTTGAAGAAGAGGCAGATTGAAGGGAGTGCAGTGCTTCAACTATCATCAGCCACGCCCACAGAAAATTGTTGGTGAATCTATGAAAGTCTTCGGGAAAAAAAGTAACAGTATGGAACAAGATATGTTTGGCCCATGAAAGCTCATGCAATGCGGTGCCCTGACTGCCAATGTTCCATCCACACTCCTGACTCCGGCATGGTCTGCACTGATTCTCTGTGTATGAGCCAAACTGGTGTCTGTCAAATCCTCAAGGAGAACTTGGCATCCAATCAATTGTGGCAACCCTTTGTTCCAGCAAATTGACAGGAAAATCCTGGTTACGTCTTCAATAAGGTTCATCTTTGGTGCATAGGGACGAAGTTCTGGCAGATGGACCAAAGAATGTAACGCTGGAGAAAGCCCGAAAATAACACTTTGGCCCTCAGCACGACTCTTTATTTCCTTGAATGGTTCTGTGACCCGTCAAAGTTACTCCCGTCAAAGCCACTCTCCAAATATCATGCTCTTTTCTTGACAGGATGAGCAAGTCCAACATTCTAGTTGGGGGCGCCATCACTGGCATCATTGCAGAGGCCCTGAAGAACATCGTTCTGGCAGGAGTGGGGTCCGTGACATTGGTCGACGACACGCCTGTTTCCGCCGAGTCGATCGCCGCAACATTCATTCTCACACCTGACCTCATAGATTCTGGTGTGTCGATGGGGGCAGCTTGCGCTGCGGCGCTTCAAGACTTCAATCCAATGGTGGCAGTACGGTCAGAAGAAGGTGAGGTTTGGTGTGACAGTTGGTGAAGAAGATCAATCAAGTTAAGGTCACAGGCAAGCTCTTGGTCTACATGGATTGAGAGACTGCCGGATGGGGCCCGTTGCTTTCAAAACAGGGGAGACACAGTGGTTGCCTGAAGTCGTGCAATTGCAAAGACCTATGGATCCGGAGATATTAGATTGCTTTCCGAGGCAGCTTTGCCGTACCTATTTCTCAACTGAATTTGTGAAAGTATGGAAGGGGGAAGGGTTCTCATAAAGCAAGCCGAGATTCCGAGGCTTCCAGCCAGCTTGCCATACTGAGAAGAATGTATGCTCTCAATCCCTCTTCAAATGGAGCTCAAACATGGTTGTTAACAGGGGTAAGGGAAGATCGGGGACAGGAGCCATTGGCCAAAAATAAGCAAGTAGGTTGACGGATAGAGGCGTGTTGATTATACAAACGAAAATATACTGTGCTTGCAGGAAATATTGTGGACAAGGCGCCAGATTTCTACGACTTCTTCAGTGTGGTGCTACTGGGTCGGGCGCCACTTGACTTGCAAGTAAGAGCACTACTTTTTCGAGATGACAAGACAGAAGGATATTGGTGGTTGCGCGTTAGAAAGACGAGGACCTTCCGTGGGCTTTGGCAAGAAGCGGCTTGACTGAAGTAGATTCGTTACAAATACCTGCTGTCGACGGCCTCGTCTTCTTTTTTGAAGATCGGGCGTTGGCTTGTGACCCCAGCCCAGCCGTTGCTGCAGAATCTGTCTTCTTCATTTTCCGTGAGGAGAGAAACTCGTCGGTTCCATCGTAAGAAAAGTACGTGTGCCCGGGCTGTCAGTATTGAAGCCCGGTCGATACTCTGGTCACGATTTGCTAGCATATCTCTCCAGAAGGCTGCATCAACCACTCCAAAACGCACTTCAGTGTTCTTTCCATTCGTAATCAGCCAAGAGAAGGTATGACCTTTCTTCAGGCCAAGATTGCTGATCTAAAAACTTTGTAATGTTTGTTGGTTGCTAAGAGTCCGTCACGGAATACAGAAAAGAATATTATCCGCCAATCCCCTCTGCAGAAAAAGATCAATGGCATTTGTCGATCGCGGGGCCACAAGGTTGCCTTCTTCTCGGCGGACGTTCGTGGCGGCATAGGACAGATCTTCGTGGACCTCCAAACACACAACTACACGCCTTTTCCGAAGCCAGACACCACACCAGAGCCACAGACCGCTCAGTATCCCAGCCTCGAGGTAAGGAACAGATTGACGAGAAAAAGGTTCACCCAATGACTGCAGTGCCCGGACATACGAGAACTTAGTTGCTCTTGTCTAGTGTGACGGTCGTCCTAGGCACGAAAACGGGTATTTCATAGGTTAGCTTTTGAGAACCATTGGGGTCCTTGACGGGAGGACAATCACAAACATCTCGTCACATGCTGCAGAAGCAGCAATCGAGCCCTTCGTTCGCCGATCGTCCTAAGTGTTTCCCATCGGCCCTGAGTGTTTCCTGCACTCAGGGTTCTGCTCGTCGTGCTGCGCATGGTTCTTCGGAAATTAGCAAGGGCCTTCCAGAATCAGCCCGCTTGCAGTGACGACGCCAGCTAGTGTTGGAACGTACTGGACTTTCTGGTTCTGAGGAAGTGCAAAGCGTCAAGATGCTTAAGAGAATTGCGCATCGAAGTTAGGGCGGACTGGCCCAATCATTCTTGTATCTCTGAGGTGATTCCGCATGCCAGAGTCGCTTTTGTATTTCTGAGTAGGACTGCCGATCCGAACCTTCCTGCTGTAGTCAATACTTGGACGTGTTTCGTCCTCTCAGGCAACGAGAGTTTAGAAACCGTGCGAAGGTTCTTCTGAACGTCGCCTTCGAAGCTATTGTGAAAGTCAGGAAGATGGTTCTAGCGATGGCAGGACTCATTGAACCCGTTTTCAAAGGCCAGAAGACACATCTGCTGTTCGCCGACCATGTCCCGCAAGCAACATCAATTATCCAATCACCACGTGTAGATCCTGGATTTTTAACAGCTCTTCAGCCTTTCAGCTATTTCCTTTGATTCTGGTAGGCGATCTGTTTTTCCGCCCTTAACACCGTTAACCCATTGTGCACCAAACCCACTCCCGTCATCTGCCGTGCCTGTAACCACTCGCAGCATTTCGGCGATCTCGTCTCGTTAAACATGAATTGGTCCACAACCCATACATTGTTCGGTCAGTCACCTACATAATCCCATCTCTCATTTGCCACGCCTTTACAGGAGGCCTTGTCGTTTTCTTGGAAGCCCCTGTTGGAGCAGAAGCGAAAAGAGAGGACGGACAGCCTTTTCTTTACCATGCGCGTCTTGGAACGATTCGAGCAGGCGGAGAAGCGGAGACCAGGGGCGGTCTCCGCAGCAGATCTGCCTGGTCTGCTGAAGACACGGGACGACATGGCCAAGTCGCAGGTGAAGCTCACTCAGAATCTGTTAGCATTCATGTGATCTGCTTCGTATAGTACTGTCGCCGTAGGCGTCAATGTGGGATACAGTTGCGGAGGTTGGCAGTGGCAAAAGGATTGATGAGCCGCTCTTGCTAATCATTCAGTCGGTGGTTCTGCTAATCAAAGTGGCATTTTCCATCCAAGGTCGCTTATCTGAACGGCACGTCTAAGATAGAGCACCGTGCCAATCCTCTTCGAGCTGCTCCGGCTGCCGTCACCTTAGCCACATGCTTGCCATATCGCCGAATGTTCCAACTGGTAGTTGCGCCCCTTTAGTTTAGAACTGCTCATTATAGCCATCTATTCAACGCCGAGTGATATCTGAATCGAAACTCTTCTACCGACATACCTTTTGACAGAAGGTCTGCACCGGATCGACGGCTCGCTCTTTCTTTTCTCTCTTGTAACTTCCAGGCATTCAGATAGGTCTTCGTTTGATTCAATTTTGCTCACAGAGTTGGAACCAGAAACCTTTCAGCCGCTGCGCCACTCAGACTCCGGTCCCGTGTTCGAATCAACCTCTAGGATAAGCCTTTCCCCGGCACCTTTTGCAGGACGTTCAGCCGGCCAAAATTCCGGACGAGCTGCTGGAGCGGCTTACGGACGCGGGGCCCAGAGAGTTGCCGGCAGTGCCCGCAATCTTATTTTGAAAATGTTATTGCAATTTGAGTTAACACGTGAGCCTTCTAACCGCTGCGCTGTTAGTCTTCAAACCTGGTCCACACTCGCGTAACCCGTTTTTTAACCACCATTCTGCAGGAAGTTCTGCCGGAGATGATTCCAAACGAGCTGCTGGAGCGGCTCGCGGCCGGGAGAGCTGCCCGCGGTGTCTGCACTCTTGTTCTGAGATTATCATTGCTCTCTGAGTTAACACGCAAGCCTTTCAGCTGCTGCGCTGTTAGTGTCCGAACCTGGTCGGCACTCGTTTAACCCGTTTGTTGACCACCATTCTGCAGGACGTTCTGCCGGAGATGATTCCGGACGAGCTGCTGGAGCGGCTCGCAGATGCGGGGCCCGGGGAGTTGCCGGCGGTGTCGGCAATTGTCGGCGGCATTTTGGGACAGGAGATCCTCAAGAGCGTGTCAAGTAAAGGAGCGCCCGTGGAGAACTTCTTTTTGTACAGCCTAACGAAGCACACAGGACTGATCGAACGCGTTCCTCCGTTGAAGAAAAGCTGATAGACTGGGCGTACTGCAGCATGTTCTCGCGCAGAACCTTGTTGCGGTGTTTTGTGTTTCTTCGGTTGCTGCTTGAGGCAGCGTCGAGTTGCACCAGCGCGCATGTGCCATATGGAGTGCCGATCACGTTTCTCAGTTCTTGGTGCGGGGCTTGATTGGTTTAGTTCTTACATCCAGTGTGGCAGCTGAGAAATACACGTCCAATTGCTATGCTTGGTGGCAACTCCAGGCTCGCCCGAGCCCAGCCATGAGGGGCACTGCGCGGCTTCCTTATTAACTCGAGACTCGATTCAAATTTATCACAGTAGGCTGACAGCGAGTCACGCGGTCGCATGCGTCACAGGCTTGCCCTGGCCTTGCTCGAATATTGCACATGCACTCCGCTTGAGTCAGTGAGCAGATTAAGGCGGCATACAAAACAATGATGGCACGACCCAGGACGTTAAGTTGCAAGAGCCAGCGATGATCGGTCAGGTAACGGATGCCGCCGTGCGATGGCCGCATGGGCAAATTCAAACCCTGAATGCATGTGTTGCAAAGCCAACGGCACGTGCGGGCGTAATGGCAGGCCCGTGACCAGGCTGTACAGTGGCATACTGGCATCTTCTAAAACCGACGCGTTCAACGGTTGTCGTAGTCACTACGTCACGAGCATATGCTGCGCGAAATTACATGTTGCTCCCTGCCGCGGAATCAGTGTGGCGCCTCATGAAGCTAGCGCTATTGAAGCAAGACGGTTGAAGGAAACAATTCAATAAGCTGGACACGTACATCCAATTGACCGTCTCGACCATGTATATACGAAGAGCATTGAAGACCCTGTACGTTTTCGAAAGAACTCGACCTTCCAGAAGCTAGGCCCGGGTGGTTGCATGTGCTCCGCCATCTGCCAGGCGGCTCGGAAGCAACGTACTCGCATTATAGGCCTTCTCCCAATGTTTGGAGTCAATGCTACTAAAATCTGTCCCTTTTGCTCACCACTTTGCATTTCCAGCTGTACTTGGTTTAGCTTCTCTAAGGGTGGCCGCTGCTGTCGAAAGCCACTGCATCCACGGCAATCCTAGTGTCCTTTTGACACGATACATCCTGATCAAACTCCGAACCTCTCCCAAAACAGTAAAGTGACCTTGACGGTTTGCGATTCCCCCGTCCCCAACCGTCAAGAACTGCGTCTTCTAGACGGGAATACACTCCCAACACTCCCAGTGTCGCAGGAAAATAGTCCGTCTTGCGATCAGGGTAGTGATACAGCACATACTTCGCTGACGAAACTTCTGGATACATTTCAAATGCCGGATAGTAAGGCGCTCCCTCTACCTTGACTCTAATCATACGGTCACTTCGAGGACGGTCCTTCAGTCGTCCATCAAAGTAGACATCTTTTACATTCATAATATATGGGCCGTCGTTATCGACACTCAGCTCAGTAGCGAACTCGATGGCCTTCTCTAAAGACTTACACGCCCACAGGATGTCCCAGTCAAATGCTTCTCCAATGTCGCCGTGAACATACACCACGTAAAGTTGTTTGGGGACAAACCTGCGTCAATCACGGAAGTGCTGACATCTTCAGATCCTTGGTTTTCCCAGGATAGCGACGAAGTCTTCGAAGTTACTGAGTCTTTTTTTTCGCGGCTTAACGTCATGCATCAGCGCGAGTCGAACAATATCCAAGACCAGTGAGCTTCTGATCAAGTTAGTTGGCGTTAAGGTGAACAGTAAAGATGATAGTCGGTCTGCTGAAAAGAGGAGCTATCACGCGGAGAGAGAGGCAAGGCGCAGTGCTGGGCCATATTGGTTGCTGCTGCCTAATTTCAAGGAAGCACTGTCAAAAGAACCGTGACAAATTGGAAACTCCAGATCCAGCAACTTTGATTTCAAAGTTCAGGTTCTGTGGGAGAAATCACTTAAACTGCCCAGTACACATGCACGGTGGGTAGACCTCCCAAATAACGGTCCAAGGGAAGGAAAGACCAATCCCCGAACGAAGCAAAGGCTATCACTTAATCACTTGCAAGCAATATTGTCACAGACCTTCGGCAAACCCAGTGATCATAAGCTATGCCGTGACCTACCTTTCGATGAACAAACGCCGCAGACGTCTTGCGTCCTCACGGCACTCCTCCGAAACGTCTTGCGTTGGAAAGTAAATGGATAGCAGATCGAACCATAGTCGAGACGACTGTTGAACAAACTCTAAGCACGCCTTGTCAGCGGTGCCAAAGCTCAGGACGTCCGCAACTGTTAAGGCGCTGAAAGTCAGGATTCGAATCAGCAAGTCTTCCGGAAGCTGTAGGACGTGGGTATTGGTTGGCTTAGACTCCATAGCAGAGCCTGCCATTACTCCGAACCTGATCAAATCCAGTCTTCAAACTTTTGCTGAAAGAAGCTGGTAATGATCAAAGATCAGTGGCAACCACGCCTGATCGGTCAAGGAACCGGCCGCGGGCGCCCCTACACAGCCCTTATGTTAGTTTGCGCGCGCGCATAAGCTTGAGTGCGGCACCCCCCGTGGTTTTTGAAATCTTTCTGGCGCCTTTTCTTGTCCTGGTCGAGCTCCTTTTTCCTTACTAATACTATTCCTCCCGCCTCTGTCGTCCGTCCGCGCTTTGGAGCCACTCGGGAGTGGTGCGCGGTTGTCGGCTTGAAAGGGTCTGGAGAATTGTAGTGCAGCCGAGGCGCGGCCCCGCGCCCCCCGCGCGCGCGCCGGGCACATAGCGCGGCCGGGCGACGCGCATTCAGGCCGAGGCTCGCCAACTCAGAGCGGCCTCGAAGCGGCGCGCTTTTCGCCTCAGGCCCGTACACCCAGTGAACGTGTTGGTAAGTCCAGGGCATGCAACCAAGTCGCTGAGCCGCTTTAGTTGCAAAATGAACGCGCCCATCCTAACTTTCGGCGACGAACCGTACCCCTCGAAGCGAGGATATTGAAGCAACTTCGTAAATTCCCGAACGTGACGCGCTTTCTCAAGCTGAAGCAAGACGTCTTGATCGAGGTGCTTTTTGATGGTGAGCTTTCGGTGACGTCAGCTGTTGTAACCCAAGGACCGCGCAGCGCAGGCGGCCCGGCATAGTTTGAACTACGAAAGCAGCGAACATGTATGCGCCAAATGTCTGCTTCATGCATCTCATGTTGCCCGCGAAACCAGATCCGTCCATCAGAACTGCAGGAAAACCGTGGGTTCCTGGCAGCCGGATTCACACTGCTCGTAGCAATGCGGAACGAAGTGGCAGTCTCTCGAAAAGCGATAGGTATAAGCGCAAGATTTGAATTGAAAGGGCCGAGCTTTAGAGGTCAAAATGAGATGCAGCCAGACATGATCCTGATGCTCTCGACCCCGTTCAATGTGGGCCGAATAGAAGACGAGAACTTTGCAAGATGAGATAACGCCGTGCTAGCTTGCAGATCTTGGATTCATGGCAGAAGTGGGGATCCTGCTCTAACATCAGATTGCCTTTGCGGGCAAAACGGATGGTTGCCACTAATTAAGGCCGGTCTACCTACGCAGACACAAATTTGCCTTTGCGGAGAATGCAAGCCTTTAATAAGTTTATTTGTTGGATCTAAAGGTTACGTACGCAGTCTCTTTCGGCGCGTTCAGGGCGCAGTCAGTTTCTTTGGAAACATTTGGATCCTGTAGAGCATTCCGTGAACTTGAAGGGCTGAGCTTGACGGATCAGGCCTGCATGTACATGAACCGACACCACTACACTTGAAGGTTGTCCTTCTCAAGCTCAGCTTGCGCTTTCAGCACTCGTTCTGTCTAACCTCTCTTGAAGCGATCCCGCTGGGTGTTGAATGCTACTTCGTCTACGCCAATCCTTGAGAAAGGACTCGAAGGATCACCCTGATCAAAGTGCGTACCTCTCCTAGAAGTAAATCTTGCGGACCGTGCCGGTTTGCCATCCCCAACTTTCCTTCCGTCAAGAATTGCATCTTCGAGACACGAGTACACACCCAATAGATCGAGTTTCGCGTCGAAACTCTGCTTCTCAGGGTAAAGATAAAGCACATAGTTCTTCTCTAGAACTTCGGGATACACTTTGAACCCCGGAAAATACCGCGCTTCGCCTACCCTGACTTTCGCCATATGGCTAATTTTAACTCCGGATTTCAGTCGTTGTTCCAAATAACAACCTTGTGTGTAAGTCGAAAAATCTATGCCAGTACCGAAATGAGAAGCGAACTCAAAGGCCTTCTCCAGGGACTTGCAGGCCCAGAGAAACTCCCAATCGAAGTTGTGACAGTTATCGTTATGGAGGTAAACCACGTAAAGCGACTCGGGAACAAACCTGCAGTCATTGAGAAATCGATCAATTCAAACAGCAGATTCAAAGTTGAGGACATGTTTCGTCTCATTGTCCGACTTCAATCGATCTTTTTCTCAGAATCGCGTCTACTATCGTGTAACGGAAGTTTCTAAGACCCTCGCAAATCCACAGTCAAATTCTCTTCCGGTAGTTCACTGGAAGTGCGCAGATGTTAAGAAGACGTCTTAGCTGACAGGATCCTTCAGGGAACAAAAAGGAATCGCCCAAAGCTGAAAAATCTTCGTGGTTGCTGCTCTCATCCTACAACGAAGATAGATGCAAAAGCTGAATTCGCAGGATAAGAAGCTTTTTTGAGAGGTCTTCCTAGAAAAAGAAAATCATCTTTTCCCTAAGAGTGTCAGATCCGGAGGTGATAAGAGTTTCTGTAGAGCATATATATAACCTTAAATCCAGCACACCTGGCGGCAAGCAAATTACTTAGGCGCGCGTAGTCTTTGCTTCAAGCTAAGGACGTTTCTTACTCTTCCTTAAGCAAACGCCGTAGACGTCTTGCGTCCTCGCGACACCAATTCGAGACGTGGTAATTTGGGTATTCCCTTCTCAGGAGCTCAAACCACAACCGAGACGATCTTTGAACAAACTCCAAGCACGGCTTTCCCGCTGCGCCAAAGTTCAGGACGTCTTGAACGGACAGGACACTGTTTGCCAGGATTGAAGCGAGGACATCGTCTGGAAGACTTAGGACGTGCGTGTTGCTTGGTAAACCCATTCCTGCGGCCATTTTCTGAACGAGCTCTTTTGGAAACGCTTGTGAAAGTGGTAGGCTGCGGTTGTTGTTGGCCATCTTGGTAGAGAGCTGCCAAAGCATTAGTGGGCAAATT